AGGGTGTGCTATCTTTTTCCTCAGTTAGAATAGGCATTTTTGTAGAATTACATTTACAGAAGATCTTGAAAAGACTTTTCTTCAGTTTTACTTGTTTAGTTGTATTACTTTAATCTCTCTCTATTGTTAAAATTGAGATTAAATAACCATATATTAAAACACGTTACAAAATACACATGCTTTCAAAGGGTGTCCTAATTTTTTCACATGACTGTATGTAATAATAATAATAATAATTAAAAACTACAAACCTAAAAATGTCAAAGACCCAATTTCTACTTCAGAATGAAGATTTTATTGCACAGTTAAAGAGGCACTCTACTACATTAATAAATGAAGAACAGTTAAGTTGTCAGAGAAGCACTAAGACTGTGAAAACGGTTCTATTTCCATGGCTTTTCAGAGCACTGATCTATTCTGATAAGGTCATCAGTCATCTTGGTTTGGACTTAAATATTTATAAGAAAGCTGGTGTTACAAACCTGAGAGCATGGAGTCTGACCATGGGGACCTGGGGATTTAGTGGGTAAGCAGGGTTTAACAAAATTTAACAAATTAAGCTGCTGAGATGCATGATGAGAGTTCTTGATCCAGTGTTTTAGGATCTTGACCCATACTAGGGGCTAAAAGCCAGGATGTCCTCAGCCTCTACTGCTTCATTTTTAACAGTTCTTTAAAAAAAAAATAAAAATAAAAACTGCCTTTTATAAGTCCCCACCATCATGACATTGTTGAAGTTTCCCTTTAAAGCACTTAACTGCAACATACTGCAGTGTATAAGTGTTCTTGTTTTGACTTCTCACATTGTGTGTACATGTAAATACACACTCGGTGCAGTGCTTGAATAAAGTGAACCACATAAGCTGTATTCCCCTGATGACTCCCCCGTCAGCTCACCTTTGCGCTCAAAGCTTTCTTCTCGCAGGATGCAGACAAGGGCCAGGAACTTTGTGACCTCTTTCAGGTACAGCACAGTGGTGTTGTTCAGCTTGATGATGGCCATTGATTCCTTGTCGTAAGCACTGCCGCTGCCATCCTCCTTCAGGCTGATGTGGCACAACAAAACACCATAATGGTAAGTGGAACACATGAAAATAAACTGCAGCTTGTGGATGAAGTAATGAACTGAATACAGAAAAGTTTGGTAATTTTTTTGTACTATTTAATATGTACATATATACAGAAAGTTCATTTAAAATCTTAACTATTCTCTAGGTTTTTAAACACAGTTTCTCTGATAAATCAAGTAAGTTTGGAAAGCACTGGCAGAACCTAAATATGACCTCTGCTAAATTACTAACGTACAAAGAAGCAAACAAAAGCACACTCACCCATAGATGCAGGAAACGTCAATGACCACATCGATCATATCGCAGCACAGTTCGTAGGACTGCATGTCTACAGGAGAGCTGTCAGTGGCGATGTAGATCTTGCTGACCACATCAAACAGGAAGGCTTTCTCTATCCCTGAATTCTGTTGGCGACAAACATCCAGCGAGGGACAGAGAGGAAGAGAAAACAACAGAGAATGAGACAAAGAGAAGAAGGGGGAAGCTGGGAAATTATAATGCGGTAATGGAACAGGATATTAAAGCATTGTCTTTTGATATTCAGAAAGTAGGGCTGGGCGATGTCATGGCATATTCATATAAATTTGGACAACAGGACTGAAAGTGACACACCACAAGGCTGTCGCAGATACTACTCACAGAAATGAAGATGTTGAGGAGGTTCTCCAGAGTGGGCAACTGAGGGATGAGCTTCTGCACAACTTTGCTGAAGGCCTCAAAGATGGAGTGGTCATAAATACTCGTCAAGTAAAAGCTGAGTGAGAGCAACATAAAGGAAGTGAATCAGTACTTACTAGTAGGAAATCCTTCTCACTTCCTCAAAAAGCGTATGAAAGCAGGTAAAAATACAGACAGTCACGAGATCACATGATGAACAGAGAAAGAGCTGTTAATTGAAATGTTTAGGCTCGATTCAGACATAAAAACACAGGAGTGAAAATAAAGTAGGCAGTAAAATCTGTCACGCGGCTGCTGCTAAACTGGATCCATGTGACTTGTGGACTTTAGTTATTGAGATGTATAAATAAAAAGGTCAGACTCTGAGGAAACAAGTGCCTTGAGCCAAATGGAACTGTCTGAATACACTTGGCAGAACCTCAACTTTGCACAGCATTACAGTGAAGAAAGCTCCAGAGAGCCACAAGGCCAAGCCAAAAAAAAAAAAAAAAGCCCTCTCAGCTCCACTATATATCTAGGACTGCTCTGGCCTGTCGAACCAGAATAAACAACAATCTCAGCCCACATAAAACACAGTGGGGTGAGCGCAGTAAAGATGCTGCAGAGCTGACCAGGCTCGGCCAGGGCAGCCTGTTCAATGTGGTGAACAGAACACTCGGACTACAACGTGTCAGAGCAACAGGCAACAAACAATTATATTTATATTGACAAACTTAGAAAAAAAACTTTCGGATGACCTGACGACTCTATTAGTTGGTAAATATTGTAAAATGACCAACTATTTCCAGAGCCTAAACGTTTCTCACTTTGATTGACCAGTCACAAATATACTAACATGTGTAGAATGACAGAAAGCCAACACTTACCGAGTAGATAATTACCCCATTATTTTACTTGATAAATAACAAAGAATTACATTAATTAACAATAACGTTAATTAAGTTTCTGCTTATTGGCCACATGATTAAGATCAAGTAATCATTTCAGCATTATTCAGTGCTTGGTTCCTGTTTATAGTAAAATAAAATATGGCAAATGTGCCAATATTTTCCTCACAAGCATCAAGGCAGTCAGTCAGTCTTCTACTTTACTGTACAGTGACATTCAGATACCAACCAAACAACACACATGTGCTTCTTTCTACATCTTGCATACAGTACGTCTGCCCCACAGGTCACCGTTTCCTCATTAGGAGGTTGCAGAGGAATTTCACAGTAACGGTAAGAGCATGCCTCCCCTATAACAAAGCTCAGGCTACTGCACATGTAGCTGAGTAAATGTAGGCCTGAAATTAGCATCAGTGCCCATTATTATTATTAAAAGGCTTCTGCAGAGTGTATTAGGTTAAAATTAAGACTTTTAAAGGCCTTTTTAACACCACACAGAACGTAATTTAATATGTGCTTGACAGTCACACTCGCTGAAGTACGGCAACAGAATGGAATACCTGACGGAACAATATGGTCTAAAATTATTTATTATTAAGCCACAGGCTCAGCTCTGAACTGCTGAACATACTGTATCTCACACTAATGACACTGCTACTCAAATATATTTGATATTGTATGTAGCATCGGCCTAAAACTCGTCTGCTGCCAAAAACCATGGGATGTGGCAGAAATATCATTTTTTTGTTACCTTCATCATTTCCTTCCACTTTTGTTAACACACAAAAGTTTCAACAACTGTGATAAACTGCAACTAGAGGATTAAATTACAAATCACATGCAAATGATGATGATGATTATGTTGTGCCACGTGTGCAGATTTAGGTAAGAAAAATGAGACATTTTAGGATGCTCTATCATTACAGTCTAATTTTCACTTTCAAACTTGACACAATTGCGGTGGGGTGAAAGGTGGGACCGGCTAGACTCCGTGCTGACACGTTAACACCTGCACACGTGTTGTGGTAGCACAGAGGTGTTGCAACTCGGAGAACGTCTGAGGAAAATACTGCCTTAATGTGTTTAACAATTACAGTTATAAACTATCTACTTCTTTGTCATCTGTATAAAATCTATTCTGGGGAGCCAATCAAAGAAGTCAGGCAGACTCATCCCATCTTTTAAAAAAAGGAAACCAAAGGATTAACTTCTCACTTATGAGCATTGTAAGGATATAAATGTTTGACAAACACACACTGTTAAAACCTCACATCATTTTAGAACAGACTTAAAAAACTAATAATTCCATCTGTATCTGTAAACCAACTGCATGTGTTCACATGGGGATGGCATCAGCGTGAAGCTTTGGAGAGCACAGACAGTGGGGTTTGTGGACTAGAGGACCAAATTTCCATGATATGAAGCAAACCATCACATTTAGAGCTGAAGCAGTCCTTGGTCTTATATTCGTTATGTTCGATCACTCAGTAGGATTGGTTGTTGGCATATCGGTACACTGTGGCATTGTTTAAACATCAGCTGCTCTGAATTTAGGCCTGTGTTATTTAAATTAAACCATAAGAGAAAGGCTGAGAAGGAACTCATCTGTGCAGACAGAGCAAAATATCAGTTGATCTTTCATGTACTGTATTTGCATGTTCAAGGATATCTGACCAGCCCTATAAATAAATTCACCGTGCCACATAATGCGTTTGGGCGGGTTCATCCATTCCACCAACTGGAAGAAACATCATAACATCTGAGGACTCAGCAGCTCAGAAACAGTCAACTAGATTGGCCTGAGTGAAGGTGGCTTAGTAAACGGACTCTGGGCCTTTTTCAGTTGAGGCAGAGGTTTCTGATTAGCCGCTGTACCACCCGGTTAGAGCTCAGTTCTAAGCTGTGACTCTGTTTCTCATAAGATTTGGATAAATCTGTTGCACAAAACAGCAGCATTAGAGTAAACATTAAACATGTGCTTCGGCTCAAAATCCTGCTGTTCTGTGTCTGATGTGTTGCTGAGATGTTGTTCATTTACTGTTGTGCCAAACACCTCAAATGCTTTTCAGTAATTATTTTAAAATAACACAACAGATATGACCCTCAAAGAATAAAATGTACAGCAGTTTAGTGTACTTTCATTAAGCATTGAGGCCATTTATTTAAGGCTTAATACTTTTTACCAGCCATTGGAATGGTCTGCTTTCATGACTTTCACAGCAATGCAGTAACAAGAAACGATAATGAAACTGAACATTCATGGAAAACAGGTGTGAGATAACATTTTGAGAAGTGCTTGCATGTAGCTGTGTCAAAATGATCATCTATGCCAACATGCCATGTGACTGCATAGGTAGCAGGGAAGGGAAAGTTTTTTTTTTTTTTTTCTTCAGCCAGTGGATGTAAAAATAAAATGAACCATGTTAAATTAAATGTACCTGAGGTGCAGCTTCTCTAAGCTAGCGTCGGCCAGGTCATCATTAGCTCTCTGGTGGATGTCTCTCTGGGTCTCGATCTTGTGATCGTCTGACAGGCCATCCACTTTGTGGATAAACACTTCGAAGTTGATTTCTGGATTGACCCTATAGGCCCGTGACACAGTGAGATGAAGCCTGCCCAGAGCCTCCACATAATCATCCTGAAACAAAGAAGATAAGCCAGTGACACATGTACAGTATTTTCATAAAGTAAATAAGACTAGATTCAAATGCATACAAAAAACATTGAAATTTTAATGGTTCTACAGTCCCCATCTTACATCACAATTATCTTTTTTAACTGTATTCATTTACACAATCACCATTTAATTATTAGCCTTTCTAAATAAACCAATAATAAAACCATTAAGCTTTGTTAGACATTTAAATGAGTCAACTACAAGCTAACAATGCTAATCTGACCATGAAACCTCCCAGATAAAAGGTGATGAATGTGACATCCTCCTACTTGGATGAACTTGGAAAGCAGCCATTTTAAATATTTTACTGCAGCTAAACACTCAATAATATAAACATTAATTACAGCCACAAATATGGCACAACTAATTCCCACTGTCAAGGTGTTACAACACATTTTATGAGCCGAGCCCAAGGCAGTTACTATCTGTTCTGGGACAGACTGAGACGTGCGTGCTCATCAGTTTTAAAGCAGGTATGAGGAAATCAGCCGCTGCATTTTCTTCCAGGTCTCCTCTGATATCACTGTGTAACCAACAGCTGAAACAAAGTGAATCTGATGCACCTCACTGAGTACAAATAAAAGCTGTGTTCAGATCAGCTGCGGCTTACATCGTAGCCAAGATTAGTTCTTGAAAGCACTTAGGGTCATACAGATAGCACAAGCATAAAAGCCATGACATATAACCATCTTTTATTCTGGCTACTCACCACCGAGTTCATTCTTGTGGACTGAAAAGTGCTTCTACACTACTTTTTATGAATGAAGTCACACCTTGGTGTGAATGCAAGTCAGAATAATCCGGTTTTCTATTTGTGAAATGAAGCAATCGGCCAGTGGCCACAAGACAAGAGAAAAAGCTGAAACTGTTTAGTATTTTTGCCAGGATATTTGAAACAGCAGTTTTCTTGATCTTTTCAGAGCAGATCAAGCAACACAATGTTACATTTGAATTTCCTGTGTTTGTGACCATCACCACTCAACTCCTCACCTGAGCATCAATGACAAATATCAACGCCCCGGTTCCTCTGAAGATCATCTCGTAATCGAAGGTGGGGTCGAAGAAATCGACTTGGCCTGGGAAGTCCCAGATCTGGAAGTTGACGAACGAGCTGCTGGAGATGTCGTCCTTGTAAATCTTGTTGGTGCTTTCCAGGAACAAGGTCTCATTGGGAGACATCTTGTGGAAAACCACCTGAAATCAGAATTGGGTTCATCTTCATTTCGTTTTAAGAACTTGGCATTTTGAATTTTGCAAAAAAAAAAAAAATTCACATCAGCCTATAGCCACAACGACACGTTCAGTGTATCCTCCCTTGGCAGTTTTTGTTTACATTTCTGTTCAGTGGCTGACACTTAAAATTTGCCTATAAAATGACAAATTCTCATTTTATAATACAGGTAATATATTGAGAATATGATTTTATATATGGAATACAGCTTTTTCAAAAAGTAGTTTTACAGTTTCCTTCACACAGTGTATTGTAAATTGTGGTCTTACAATATGTTGTATCTTGTCAAACTGCCTGTATTAATGTAATAACATTTTCACAGGGGAGATTATCACAGAATTTCTGTATTTTGGCTTATACCACAATTCCAGCACTCAGACATCATCCAAACATCACATGAGGGAAAAGGGCAAAATACTGCTGGTCTGACACAATACACATCACTCTGCAATCAGCATTTTTCAGTTGTGCGCTTCCAAACAGCCGACAAGAACAGCGCAGCTGCCTCAAGTGCAGTTTAGGGTCGATCAGAGTCTTGGTCTACTAAATATGCTAACAGGTAGAAAATAAGCTGCAGTGGGTGATGGTGACCTGGGAGCACTTGCTCCACAAATTCCATTTTGAATGACTGATGTCACAGGCCAATGAGCCAGCAAAAAGCCATATCACATGTTTTTCAGTCCATACTGGAGGCTTACAGGGGAACATTAATCTGGGATGGGAGGATGTGGGAATTAAAGGAAAAACAGTGTGCATGTGCAGTTCGTTACAGAAAAGTGCACTTTTTACTTCTGTTTCCTTCAGCCAGTGTGACTCCTGACATGTCACGCTACATCCAGCCTGATTCTAGTTCCCCCTTGAATTTTAACATGAATAATAAAATATCATAAAAGGCAGAAGTACATCTCATCAATTATTCAACCTCAGAGCCAGCCTGGATGTGGCAGATGTGAAGAAAAAGGAGGCAGCTAAGCTTCTTGTTTCAGCATAAAGAAAAAGGCCTTCAAACCAAGAACTCCTGACGGGCCCCCAAACCCCAGGTTCACCGACACGTCTGTTGGTTTTGGTAATTTGATTAACTGGAAAATTGTTGTGGAAGTGACACAACTAGCAAACAATATTAACTAAAGCAAATGTTCTCTTGCAGAAGGGACCCTGTGTCAACAACTAGCTTTAAGAGCTTTATTATTTTTCATTTATATAGCATTCATGTGATACATATTCTTAGTACAGTTGTGTTTTATCAAATAGTGAAATGCATTTAATTCCACCACAATGTCACATTTTTCTGTGTTTTATAGCAGAGAAGGGCCACTGGGAACAATGACCTCCACTTGCGTCATCATAAGACATTCATCCATTACCTATACTGCTTATAGATAATGAGGGGCCGGTGCCAATCCCAGCCAACACTGGGCTAGAGGCGGGGAACAGAGCTGACTCATCATAAAATATGAAACAATTAAAAAAACAAAAACATGAAGCTTAGGGGGAAAAAGATGTACAATTTCTGACAACAGTACCAAACATTTAAACAGTGTGACTATTGTTAAGGCCATCATCAAGTAAGTAAACTGATCACATTAAAAGATAAATCAGGACTTGGGAGGCTTATCAGCTTGGTTAATAATTATCTGTGGAGAAGCCTAGAGAGCGCTGGTTTCTCTGAAACAATAAGCCAATTAATCAATCAATCAATGGACAGAAAAAGAATCTGCAATTATGTCAACAATCGGTTAATCATTTAAATGACAAACATAATAAATGACAAACATGTGATGGTCCCAGCTTCTGCTGAGTGAGGAATTCCCACTTTTTCCAGTCTTATGTTGCAGTAAATTGAATATTATTGGGTTTTGGATTAATGACTAAATACAAATGCTATTTGAAAGCATCAAGTTGGGTTCTGGCAAATCATGTTCCATTTTCACTATTTTCATGTGTTTTACAGACTGATAATCAAAAATAATAATTAATGGGCCAATAAAGTAATAATGTAAATACGTGCTAGCTGCAGCCCTACACAACATACCAGGAACTTGGCCACATATTGCACATGGGATGGCTGTTTGGGAAAGCCGAGTTTTCCCAACAAATGTCTTCCGCCCAGGAACACCCTAACCACCCAGAATTGAGACAGGAAACTGACCGACCGCACTGCAGGTGCTGCACTGATTTCAAACAAAGTGTTATGACTTGCAGAACAGAAGGTGTCATGTGAGAACCACACAAGACCTGCCCTATGCCTCACAGCTGGGTGGGACTAGGATCTATCTGGCATGTTGGACAAGTTGTTAATCAAACAGTCACATGCTGTATGGCCAGTTATCAGTAAAGATGCACCGAGCGTCTCTGTCCACCTGGTTAATAACATACTGCTGCAGCTACACTAAGCTAACAGGTGATTAGCTGCTGGAAACAAATGCGTCTTATTGCAGTTCTTCCGCTCTCATGTAGCTAGTATGTTATGTGCTGGTTGATAGCTATCATCCCTTGCGACATGCTAAACTAACTCGTTAGCTATTTTGGCTAACGTCCCGTTTGCTTGCATGAAGCATAGGAAGACGCCGTTTGCATCGAAAAGCTAACACTTTAACGTCGCTTCCTACCTTCTGTATCGATGATTTGCCACTTCTTCTCAAACCCATGAGCAGGATTCTCGGTTTGCTATCAGACGGCGCCGGGTTGTCCTCGATGTCGGTCTCTTCACCATAACCGAAATCTTTGGGGAACGAGTCCGGAACCCCGTAGCTGTCAGGCAGCTGTTCTACCTCATAGTGAATCGACATTTTGACCTAACGACGGTCGCTTCCCCTATTCCCCCCCTTACTTGTCGGCCACCACACCCGTGTTTGTATCGCACGATCGGTATGCACCACAGACTAACGTCAGGCAAGGAACATACTATGTAAATAAAACAGTGGCTACTAGGAAACAGAGCGTGATCCCACACATTTCCTTAGGATTTCCTCTCCCTTGAAGAGAGCGAGGAGGGGGGAAAGCTCGACCTTTGGCCCCGCCTCTCAATTGCAATTCGTTCTTTATATAATAATACAAAAGCTGATTGGTGGAGCTGCCTGTCACTTTACTAAGGTTCGTCACTGTCACCTGACTAGTACTCAGACTTGTTTTGTGACCTATCACCCGACCAAGAAGCAAATACAGGCCGTTGTTACAACAGTTTAACATACGTTTGAATTTTTACCAAAAAGACATCATTCATGCAGTTTTCTGCTGTAAGGAACAGAACAATTTCTGAAAGTTATTTAATAGAAAACCAAAAGAAAGTGGGCAGTTGCGATTTCACCAGTAGATGACAGCAAAACTCCACTACACACAAATTGAGACTTTCACGAACTTCATAAAATGTCGCAATCTAAATTAAAATCGGTAGGAAAATCGCCGTCATGTGGCTTCTGATAAGTAGTGCAAGGCTATGTAAGCCTTTCCCATGCTGGTCCATAATATGCAGGTTTTCATTTAGATCAGAGAAGAGAGAATGTAATTTGGTAATAAATAATACATTGAGTTAGAGCTTTTACCCTCTGGCCAGAGTCGTAGCTAGAACTGAAATATTTTTCAGAAATACTGAGATCACGAATCGAACGCTCTCAACAAAATAAAACGAGGATTTTACACTGGTAAATGCTTGTGGTTGAAATGCGTTTTTATTTAACGAGGAACACATGAAGGCAACACTCGTTTCCCGAAGGTAGCATAGATGTGTTATAAAACGAAACTTAACTTTCCCGGTCCAGCTGATTACTATTTCCTTCTAAATTAGGCGCTGCCGCAAACACCACCTTGACTCGAAGAAAGAAACCTTACATCCTACATCGTTATGGCGTATTATAGAGTAAGTGTGTTTGGTGTCGTTTTGTCCTGCACCGATGTTCTTGAGAAACTGTTTCCTGTTACTAAACTAAATGCAACCTAGCTGAGCTGATGTTAGCAAGCTAACTTAGAAGGTTAACTAGGAGTTGATTAGTTACAAGTCTAAACACCTAGCTCATGTTTTGGTTTTAGTAATAATTGGGGGTTGTACGTCTTTGTGGATAAACTAAGCTTTGGGACCCGTCAGATAACGTAAATAAACCAACTTTTCGACTGAATTTTCAGCTACTGCGGGCTATGTAAATTGACCACGTTATGCGAACAAATTACTTCAGGCGTGAATCGATGAATTCGGTCAGTGGGCCCTGGACCACAGCCTACTGCAGAGGGGCACGAAACAGGTGGCAACACAACTGAGTTCAACTAGACGCAGAATGACAACAAAGACACAAACGACTGCAAAGCCACAAATAAAGTAAAAAAAAACTGACCACAAAAAGTCAAACATGAGTAAATTAAACTTAGAACCACAGCAAAGAGATGCAACACATCTATATATATATATATATATAGATGCAAAAGTGTCACAAAATGACTAAATACAGATGCAAAGTATAAGGAGATGCTAAATGAGTGATAAGAGACAAAATTGCTACAAATACTCAACAGGGTCTCTTTCTACCTGTGTTTGGCTGTTATGTAAGAGGGGCCCCATTGTCTTATAGTCATGCCTTCATGCAAATTAAAGACTAATGGAAAGTGTAAAACTGTCTCTAACCCACCGTTTGTTATCTAAATTTCTCATCCCCCAGCAGGGTCAGGAGCCCAAAAGGGAGCAGTTTCGGAGATATCTGGAGAAAGCAGGTGTTGTTGACAGTCTGACCAGTGGTATGTTAATTTTTTACTGTGGAAACCATTTTGCTGGGTTTGGGGACCATTCACAAGCTTCACTTTTAAAAGAAGCAATGTTTAAGCAAACCAAGAGAGTTGCAGACAAGGATAAATGATGTAATTTTAAAAAATGTTACCACTTTGGTCAAAATGATACCAAAGTTTTATTACTAACAAGGATTTCTTTTTTTCTTACGTAACCTTGTTGCTGCTGTTGTTGTTGTCAAATGCATCAGTTTTACTTTTTTTCTGAACAGAAAACAGCAGTATGAGAACTTTACCTAAATAGTCTAAAATGAGCAAAGGTATTATTTGAGGAATTACCAAATCAAGTAAGCAACAATTAAGAATCAGCCCAAGTCCAAGAATTTGCTGCAGCTAGGCATTGTTGGTATCACTGTGTAGTTGTTAGGTAATTTCTTAGTCAGATAGATATTGATTAGATATTTGTTGTATTAGGAATGTTTAGTGGAGCCAGGCTGTCTAGCTCAGGCTGTTAAATGCTTAGTCATTCTTATGAGTTTTGCAGGCTGCATGTAGGCCAAGGACAACTAGATAGAAAAGTCTGCAGGCAGGAGGTTATTGCTATTATTATTAGATGTGTAACTGTAATTGTAATCATTATATTTTCTTATGTGTAAGGTCATGTAAAAATGTTTTTAGATACACACCACTAATCAACAGCCACACACTTTAATTTGCTTCATGTTTTGACTATTGTTATGGTCAGCTGCAAAGCTGGCATATCAGGTGACATCACGGTTTGATGTTGCTGAGTAGAATGGGCTATCCCAACCAAGTGATAAAATGGTATATGCATTATGGTTCAGGGTCTTTGATTCTCCGTCTGCCTGCGTGCAGTATTGGAGGTGAAGATACCTGGACGTGTAATGTTAATTTTACCTGTGATCTTTTGAATAAACCAGCACGGTTATTTTTTTATATATCCAAGTGGTCCGCTTCGTCTCTCTGAGTTCCTGGTTAAAAGAGCTGGGAAATATCTTTCATAGTCAACTCAATTCTTATGAAAACTCAACCTCTCTCCCCACAATTTTTTATTTATTTATTTTTTTTGGTTTCAGTTCTGGTGGCTTTGTATGAACACCCAGAAAGGCCCAGCAATGCTCTGGAGTATCCTTTTATGCACATTAAGTCCTTCTTGACACTATGTAAATGTGTGGTTGATGAGCACACAAAGCAGGTTTGAGCCCCACCCAACACTATGTAACAACTTCAATGTAAAGAAATGCTCAGAGATCAACTGATGAAGAGAACAGTGGCTCATATCAGCTCTGTAGGGTCTTTAACCAACATCTTCCAGATATGTGAAGCAGCATCTCGGGGCCTCTGGCCAGATGTGTCCAGACACTGAGGCTCTGCAGCAGGAGGTGAGTGACCTGAGGCAGAAGTGTGCACGTCTGGCACAGGAAAACAAAGACCTGAAAACAAAGGTAAACTTAACCCATAAAAATGTGCATGTGATTGATGTCTGTCAACATGTTTTTTTTTTGATAAAAAAAAATTTTTATTATTATTATTATTTACTGTTTCTCTCTAGCTGCAGCACTACGAACCTGTATCAGAAAATGGGGCCACAGCTGACTAGACCACAGCAGAGCTTCAGTTTGAAAAATGTACTTTTCTTTATGTTGCTGGCACTTTGAATTTGTCAAGAATTTTTACATAGCTGTGCTTTTTTTGTTAGTTCATTTTTGCTTGGTTTCTTAAAGTCTAACTTATTTTGTACATGTATGTATATAAGTTTTTGTCTTGTTAAGTCTGTAGCCTTACTGAGAAACTGTGCTATTGTAGGTTATTTTTTAGAGGAAAGGGTTCCATCAACAGTGTTTGATTATACTGCTGGTAATTGATATTTTTCTGGCATGTGCATATACTGTATATTATTATTATTATTATACAGTACATAACCACATGACACACTGTGTGACAAACACTTTCGAAAGGTCTGGTAAAGAGTCAACAAAATTAAAGTCACTAGTAAAATAAAGCATGGTATTGTAATTATTACTGTATCACTTACTGAACTAATTTCCAAACAGCAGTCTTTTAATCACACCATCTTTTGGAATATCATAGGATTTTGATAGTGTAATTACTGTGGTCGGATACGGCTATGTGCAGTCAATAGTCAGGGTACCTGCTGGCCTTACAAAGCACTGAATTCAGTTTTATCAACAAAGACCTGAGAATGTATTAAAAATTCTTAAATTTCATTTACAGATTTCCTAATTTTTTTGTTGTTGCCTGCTGTAGGCATTTATGTTCTAAAATGTTTCTGCATGTGTTTTTAGCAAAAGCTAGAAAATTTCTACTACTGTTGTGCCAGTAATGATGAACGAAGTTATATTGATGGGCTAAGTTTGGAAACTATAGAATTTTCTAGATACTGTAAAACACTAGAAGCAGCCGCTGCCATACGGGTACAATCAAATTCATGTGAGAGTCCCTGATGGCAACAAGCAAGCTGTGTTACTCATAGTTTGTATGTATGTATGCATGCAACATAAAAAAAATAAAGTCTTGTCCTGTTTCTGTAGAAGTTCAAGTTTAATTTTACAAATAAATACATTTAAAAACAAAGACATTAAAAAACAAAGTTTTATTTGTATGGATGTTGATTCAGCATCCATACTATGTTATCCTGGTCTTTATTATTATTATTATTATTGTATGGAATCAGCATCCATACAATAATAAGTCTTTATTATTATTCTGGTTTCTTCCATCTGTTTTTTGGCACCTAATTTTATCAGCATACTTTCAGCTATGAAAACCGTTCAGGTATCGACATGTTCAGCTTTTTAAGGATATTTATGCTATTTTTTCTTGTTTCTAACCTTTATACTTTTTAAACTATTTAGTGTCTTTCAGCAAAATTTTGCCCATTCAAATGAATGTGAAAATTCAACTTCAGCACACTTTCAGCTATTTCAGCTATCAAAATGTTCCACAAGGACTTTCATGCTTCTCTTCAGAATTTTTCTAAACATCATACTTTTGAAATATTTAGCTTTATTTTGAAAATCTTGCCACATTCAAATGAATGGGGAAATTCTACTTCTGCATAATTTCAGATATCAAAATGTTCAGCTCTTCAAGGACATTCATGTTTCTCTTCAGAGGTTTTCTAAACTTAATACTTTTGAAATATTTAGCTTTATTCTCAAAATCTTACCCCATTCAAATACAGTATGTGCCAAAAAATTAGAATATCGAGGAAAAGTCCATTTATTTCAATAATTTGTTTCAAAAAGTGAAACTTGTATGTTATATTAGTTCACTGCACACAAAGTGAAATATTTCAAGCCTTTATTTGTTTCAATTTTGATGATTATGGATTAAAGACAAAAAAAACCCAAATCCAGTATTTCACAAAATTAGAATATTTCATGTGACCAATAAAAAAAGGATCTTAAACACATGTTGGCCTTCTGAAAAGTGTGTTAATGTACTGTATTATGTCCTCAGTACTTTGTTGGGCCTCCTTTTGCA